AATGAATATAAAGAATATGTGAATGCAAAGAATACAATGAATTATAACAAATCTTATTCAAGAAAAAATTGTAAGATTTTAGGAATTCTAAAAATTTGTAAAATAGATCTCACCTTCTAAAAGTTAATCTCAGGAATTCTGTTTTTATAATCGCATGTTTAAAATTGAATACAACTAACTTTAGCTTGCGAAAGAAATTGTACGTCCGGTCGATCTCATTGCTGGGCTGTCGATAGTAACGCTTCATTTTTCATCCGGCTAACCGAATTTGTCGAACTCGGACCTGCGCCAAGGGTGGGATCTAATTTCAGGGCCATTCCGATGGATACGAGCTTCCACCCTCGCCAACCGATAGTCGTGAACTATCATTTGTTCGAATTACATCGCCATCCCTCCTTGCATCGTCGATCGTTTGTTATTATTAGCTTCAGCGTGCTGCTTGTAATAGTTTTGTTACGTATTTTGTTACTCCCGCAAGACAAAGCGAATCTTATGTTGTAGACAGTTTTGTTTATATATTTGCAATGTTTTTAAAGCACATTTTATATTAATATATGTACTTGCACAATAAAGAATACTGCTTTAAATTTGCGTAATAAACTTTAATTGGTATTCGTGAATCGAGTTGAGTCGGATTTTTTTCTCAACTATATTCTAACAAATTGTTTATAATTGTTTAGTTATACCATCTGACATTTTAAATTATATAATTTTACATCTTGAATTTAAAAACAAAATTATTTAATAACATTAACTTCAAACAAAAATACAGTAATTTAAAGTATACTGAATCCGCGAATATACATACCAGTTAAAAAAATTTCGGGGCAAATATTGATTAGAGTTAATTTATTTCAAGATAAGTTAAGTTTAATAATTAATATGCTGAATATTGGAAAGATGATAGTAGCTGTGGTGAATCTAACTGGCCGAACCGCATCAAAAGAATCGACAAAATAATTACATCATGCAGCTGGATATTCCTAATCTTTCTGGCTGAAGCCAGAAAAGCTGAAGCTTTCATCTTCAGGAAGCATGAAGAGACTCTGGTATCTGCTGATAGGGTTCGAGCTTGTCTCGATAGTAAGAGGGTGGCAAGGGGGTTGCGCGCGATGCGATGGAAATTATACATACATAAGAGGAACGGAAGGTGAGAGACTGGTACGTTAAAGAAATTAGAGAGATAATTCCTCGGACGAATACCCAATTTACCCTTTCGTCCGTAGCGAGCGCCCTGGCCTTATTATCTAAAGTGCTCGGCTGGCGAGAGAGGGTAGTGAAAAAATAAAAAAAGAATACCCTCTCCTAACGGAAAAGGCGGAGGGTCGGGCGGGGCCGGTGGCAGCTTGGAAGGACAAAAAGTACTAAAGTACACCTCCAACCTTCTCCTAGCGAGCGTCGCGCTGTCCGGAACTCGGAGCGGGATGCCGGTGTGCTGGGAAAACTTTTTTCGGCTCTTATAATTTATTTACGGCTGAGATATTTTTCTCTGAGCTTCAATACTTTCCCCAATGTGGAAAAGGGGTAAACGAGCACCCCTTAAGCGATTCACCTTTCTTATTGTATCTGCGATTGCAACTTTTTTTTTCTTTTCTAATTCTATTAATATGCAAAACTGTATTTATTTTTATCTCTTCTTTCTTGATATGTTGATATTTTATGAACGTTCTTGATTTTGAATGTTCTGTGTAATCTTTTTTTTTTGACGTTACTCGTAAAATAGAAAGCGTAATAATTCTATATTTATATAATATATAACTATATTTATCGTTTATATTTTTTTAAATTATTTAAAAAATTAATCAGGAATTACAAATTTGACATTTTAAATTAGATGACAAATATTTGAAACAAACAATCGATTCATATGTTAAACAATAGTTGTATTTTCTCTGCATTTAAAATAGCTGTCAGAATTGAAAGACACACAGAGCTTTGTTCGTGATCGAAAGAATCAGCCAATCAGTCCGCGAACTGTCCTGAAATGCATTTTCCTATATCCGGCGACTTGCTGGCGGCGGTTTTAGTGTCGCAAATCTGTATACGAACTATGCGCCACGAGAGGACTAGTCTTTGTCGCTATTTTGGGGAATGGATGCAGGGACGACGCGAATACGTTCGATCGATGAATCACTCAGTACACCGTGACGTTGACGCGGAACGTTGGCGCGAGGGAGACGAAGGCCACGAGTTCTATGCCGGAACTGGTCGAAAAGGGGGAACGAGGGGGATGGCTGTTCACGTAGAGGGGTTGGATGCACCCCGTCACATATACATATATATGGTATGGCGGCTCACCGGTTGCGGGTGCAGCCTATGCAGGTGCGGGTGTATTAAAAAGCGGGGGTGGCTGCGGTCGCGTACCAATCACCCAACAGGGACGAGGGGGTGGCGGAGTCATGGAACGAGAGACGGGCCACGGGGATCGGATAGAACGGCAACCGGACGATCGGGGGCAGTCACGGCAGAGAGGGATCATATAGAAACGGTTCGTTGAAAGAGAAAGAGAAAGGGAGAGAGAGAGAGAGAGAGAGAGAGAGAGAGAGAGAGAGACAGAGAGAGACAGAGAGAGAGAGAAAGAGGGGGAGGGAGGGAGAAAGAGGGAACAGAGGGGGGGTTTTTTTTAGAGAGAGAGAGAGAGAGAGAGAGAGAGAGAGAGAGAGAGAGAGAGAGAGAGAGAGAACACATTCGAGCTCATGCAGCTTGCCGTGAAATTTTAATCGTGTCGTCATTGGGGTAGTTTGTTGCGATAACCCGACCAGCATAGACATATACGGATTTCGGAAAAAAAGAGGACGAAGAGAGTAGAAAACCGTGCCGTCACTGAACATAACCGTCCTTTTTTTATACGTTTTTTCATGCTCTTCTGGGGACGATACATCGACCACACGTACTAAGCACGACACGCGTTACCCGTTGCATTCATTAACGGTACGAAAGTAAAAGTTGACTAAAATTTATTTGTATGGTGGAAACTCGGATATTTCTAGACAATTCGTGCGGATCGCACAAGTTGATTCTGTTTCAGTTTACAAATTTTATAAATATATTTACAACAGAAAAATAGATAGTCTTGTAACAATGATATATATTTATGACGTATAGATGTCACGAGTAATCACAGGACGGTGACAGATCGATTTTCTGAAAAATGTGAAACAGAGAAAGATTTGCGTGGTGGCGACGTGTCGGCATTATTGCTCATTTGATCCAAAGCGCATCGGAAAATAATGTAGAAAATTGTTTTGCGGTCTTTTTATCTCGATTTCAGGGACGCTGGTCAGCACGCGAGATCGACGGATACTTTGTCTGTTTTCCATCAATCACGCGGACCTTTTCACCGTGCGGATATCGAGCCTGCCCGTTTTTGCGTGCGGTGCATCCCGCTCGATTGCAATCGCGGCGAATTATTGAATCTGCTGCATCTCGTCCGACCGGATTAGGTTGCACGCGCGGATCGTTCGATACACGATTGCAATTTGTTCACTTTATCGCGAAGCGCTGTAAGAACATTTCAAGTGCCATGCATTTTTAAGAAGTAATGAAAGTAAGAGTTAATATAAAAACGATATTAATATCAATTGCTTAATGCGAAATTTTGTAACTGTGATTATCATGCAAAGAGAATGTGAAGTGATTCATTTTTAAATTAATTATTATTTTTATGAAAAAATAACACGTTAACAAATAATTCTATATTCTGATATATATATGTATAATTATGATATATGATA